CCTTCTTACAAACGTAAAAATTGGAATAAGCTGACGTAATAGTATATGGTCAGTCTTATTTTCCCCATGAATTCGGTTTGTAGGTTATATGCATTATGCAATTGTCACATGCAATTCCGTTTGGCGCTTTAACTATCCAACGGCTATACCGCATGGACCCCTACTATTATGCATCTAATTATTGGTTATGTTAATTGGATATATGATGTTCCCTCTATAACACAACATTTTGTTGAAAACGATGATAATTATGAATTCATGATTACATTAGCTACTTGTTTTTCTTACATGGTTTTGCAAAGAGTTTCAAAAATAATTCTTTTACTTTCTAGAGTAAGACATTAATCACGAGAAAAGGACTTAAGGAAATGTGATGTACATTAGGCACTTAATGTTATAGCTAACTGTTGACCGGTTCGTGACCGCACAACTTTGATCATTTTGTTTTAAAATTATATATTTGTTTGGATTGCTTGATCAGGTCATTCTACAATATTTATTCATAATTTAACTAAATTACATTTTGATATTATTTTTTACAAAATTTGCTACACTAATCGACTTGATCGAACTTGTAATCTTATGGTCTAGATCGAATTTGTAATCTAATGGTTTGTAATAAACTAATAATAACGATTCAAAGTTGATAATATGCTTGTGTAAGTTCTAAACGACAAATTAGTGATTGAGAAAATCATAAGTGAAGTTCGTCTTTTTAAATTGCGCACACTTGAGTAAGGAGGAAGGAGACATGCATGTGAGATGAGATAAGCAAAACTGGTCGTACTCGGCGTATGAAACCGAACAAAGAAGATATTAGAACATGATATCGTTATTCTCAACAAAAAAAAAAAAAAACATGATATCGTCCGTTGTTTCCGGTAACAAACTTTCTTTCAATCAATTTTCAGTTTAGCATCATCATTATCATGAGAATATCACTTTCTTCGTCATATACATGTACATGACCGGTACTCCAATGATATCAAAGACCCAAATTCAGCTTAAAAATTGTGGTTTCCTGTACATTTAACTTAACACATCCAAAGATAAAATTATTTTTAGTACTTTACCAATTCATAACACACCCAAAACCCACTATGTTGTAAAAAAATTCAATACATTATACATATAGAATATGCATGCACGTCTAATTAATGTGTACACAACTACACATGACTCCTATGTCCAAGGCGCGAGGTGAAACAGTCCGAGATCTAACAATAAAACGGTTCCAACATTTAAAAAATACATATAAGGCAGTTTAAAAATTTAATCATAAAAATATTTAAATTTTCCATATAAATAAAAAGTTTCTGAAATATCTTAACTATCCAAAATTTATGATACCAATTTTGATAAGTGTAAATTCGAATATTTATTTAGGTATCCAGTTATCAATTTTTTTTACTTCACCAATTATCTAAATTATATAAAAAATGATTGGTAAAAGGTCCCCCAAAAAATTCTCTATATATTAATAGAGAAAACACTAGGTAAAAATCATAGATGTCATCTAAAGACGGTTTTAAGGAGTTTTTAATGAAAACTATTAAAAAAATTTTAATGACATGAACTATTATGTAAATAATTAGAAGAACCCAACTATATTTTAGCCTAATTACTCACTAAATTTATAGATAAATTTCAAAAAATGCCACTTTTCAAGTGCCACTTTACAAAAATGTCATACTTTTGAAATCTTTACAAAAATCCCACTTTTTCAAAATTATTTTTCTTTATATTATTTATGTTTGGGTTAATTATGTTCTATTAGGGTTTAGTTTTGAGTGTTTAGGAGGTTTTAAGTGTCAAAACATTTTTTAGGGTTTAGAATTTTAAGATATAGGCTTCATAAATCTATAATTAGTGGCATTTTTGTAAATGGACACCTCTAAGTGGCATTTTTGCAAATATGCACACAAAAAATGGCATTTTTGTAATTGTCCCAAATTT